TCCCTCCTTGTTCCCTCCACCTGATCGTTCCCTCCTCCTGATCGTTCCCTCCTTGTTCCCTCCTGTTCCCTCCTCAGATTTCCGCCGACGCTTCCTGTCGCTGCTCTCCTACCAGTTCAGCAGCTTCCACCCCAGCCTGGCGCTCAGCATCCTGCAGAATAAGAAGCTGAAAGAGGAGGCCGCCTGTAAGACGTTTTTAAAAATAAAAAGTTAAATCTCGGGTTTCGGCTCCGGCTCGCCTGATTTGTGTAAATCTCCACCAGCTCTCAGCAGCGCCGAGCTGGCGGCCCACTTCACGCCGTACGACCTGAAGCGCCTGGAGCTGTACTCCAGGAGCATGGTGGACTACCACCTGGTCATGGACCTGATCCCCACTGTGGCGCGCATCTTCTTCCTCAAGCAGCTGGGTGACGTCTCCCTCTCGGCAGCGCAGTGTGTAGGTTCATCCTGACTTCAGCGGGTCTCGTTTGCGATGAACCGGATGCTGATTGGCTGACTCTTCCTGTCCAGGCGCTGCTGCTGGGAATCGGTCTGCAGCACAAACCCGTGGATCAGCTGGAGAAAGAAATCGAGCTGCCGAGCTCGCAGCTCATGGGGCTCTTTAACCGTCTCATCCGGAAATTCGTGCAGGTGAGTTTCTCCTGATTATTTTGTCAGATTTAAATAAAGATGTTGCACTAAAGCAACATGTTAACCTTTGACCCCGCTGCAGGTTTTCACCAGCATCCAGGAAAAGGCAATCGAAGCTGAAATGGTGGAAACTAAAGACGTCAGCATGGAGCCGACTGTCAGAAGCCTCAATGAAGATCTGGTATGAGAACTGAGTGATGCAAATGTTCGGGTTTTAAATTCACCAATTAGCGTTTATACAGCAAACACTACAGACCAACAAAAAGCTAAAAGGGTTGTTTATTTTACCTACAAAATAAACAACCGGATAATAGAACGAATAACAGCAACAAGGATAAGATAACCAAACAAACGAGGTTTATACTAATCTGGATACAACAAAAACAATGAACACGTGGTTTAGGATAAACTTTTACCTTTTTTCTCTGCAGTTGTTTTCTAATTTGAATTATTATTAAGTGAAAAAGAGCGAAAGTAAATAAATGTAAATGCGACAACAAAAACCGTGATCTTTTTATAAGATTTTCCCATTTCCAATATTTAGAAATGAAATTAATGTTATTAATTGCCTAATTTTATATTATATTACTTATAATTCAATATGCTTATTCCTGTCATGTTTGCTGAATGATTAATTGTCCTGGTAATTACTGCGATAAACAATATTAACGTATTGATATTATTGGCATATTGATACAAATTTTCTCTGACAGACCAGTGAACTTTCTTTTTGTAAAAAACACTAAAACTGGAAGACATTTTAAATGTCCAAGATAAAACACAACCAAATACAATAAATAAAACAGGTTTTGATGTTTCTGTGAACAAAATTGTTCATCAAAAAATACTAAGATTGGAAATGATCTGGTTTATGTTAATTATGTGGATAATTGATTATTGTTAGTATGCTTATTTATTATTGTCTTTTTTATAACATTTTTAATTTACTTTTATGTGTCTTACTGTGTAAAGATTTTATAATTGGTGTTTAGATATTTTCAATAATATCTCCTGATTACAGATTTTTTCACATTTCTTGTGAATTTGTAACATTTTTTCACACAAAGCCAGTTGGATTATCAAGTTTTCTGGAGATATTAAGATGCTCCTTTATCATAAAACATTTAGTTTTTTAAGTAAATTCCTCATTTTAAACAGGAGATCATATCACACTGTTAGTTTGTGTCTGAAGCAGAAACTGACTGTCGTGTCTCCGGATTCATAGAGTGAAGCTGCCAAAGAGTTTGAGGAGCGGCACAAGAAGGATCTGGAGAAAGTGAAGGAAATGGAGCTAGAAGAGTGAGTGTTTGGGTCGACGCATCACTGGAACGAAAACTCGGTTTGCTGCGTTGCCAACGACTTCCTTTGTGTTTCCAGGTACAAGATCCGTGGAGACGATGAGGAGTGGGACCAGGTGCTGAAGAAAGCGGGGAGCACGGCGGTCGTCAGCATCAAAAGGTGCAGCATCGCCAGGAAAACGCCGCTGTCTGCTTGTTTTAGGGGCTCAGTGGTAATCGTGCTGCTTTTTCCCACAGCGACAAGAAGAGGAAATGGGAAGGAGAAAACGTTGTAACGAGCAACGGCGACGGGAAGCAGAGGAAGGAAATGAAACACGGAAAATTTAAGAAAAGCAAAGACAAACATGGAAAATTTGGAAAGAAGGCATAAAAACCTGCAGAGTCGGACTGCACACGATTCGTCTTTGGACTCATAGATGCATAAAAATTCATTTTTTATTTTATTTCTGCTCCTTATTGACTTCATTTCCACACTTTGCATGAGGAACCTGTACAACGCTGTAAAACAGCTAAAATAACACTTTGCCTCAATGTGTTAAACATTTTATATTTTACAGTTTTGTTTCGGATTTCAGCACACTGCAAAAAACTAAATCTTACCAAGTATTTTTGTTCGGGTTTCCAGTGCAAACAGCTTAGTTCACCTGAAATAAGACAAAACTTACAAGCAACTTTACAGCATATTTAGGAGCTTGTTTTAAGTTAATAATTTTTTAAAAAGTTGGAGTATTATGTATTTTCTGGCCACATAGTATCATTTTGTGACATAATCAAGTAATTAACTAATATGACTTTAAAAAATGTATTTAGTAATTTACCTCCTCCGTCTCTTTAAAAACTCCTGCTCTTTCTGAAGCTCCGCCTTCATTAAGTCATCACATCATGGCTCCTCTATTAACCTTTTAAGTATCTGCTATCAGCTCAGCAGTTCTGCCAGGTGTTTGCTAATTGCTGCTGGCTAGTCTGAAGGAGCCGAGCTGATTTTACATAATCCTGCCTCTTTAGGATCTGGTGCCACTGGCAGATTATGTCACTTATGGGAAAAATGTTTTGTTGTACGTGAAAGAATCTGCCAGTAGAACTAGTTCTTTATCTTGTTGAAAAGTTACTTGTAAGTTTTGTCTTATTTCAAGTTAACCAAGACGTTTGCACTTTAAACTAAACTAAAAATACTTGGTAAAATTTAGTTTTTGCAGTGTAAAATCTCTAAGCCTGCAGCTGGGCTCCCTGCAGCAACCCAGGCTTTAATTCAGTCCACTTCTGTCTGAGCTGCTGCTTCACTTCGTCTCCTGCGAAGATGCAGTCCACCGCGCGCTCCGACAGCGTCCACACCGCGTCGGGACGCAGACCGAAGGTGGACGCAGCCAGCTGATACTCCTGAGACAAGTCCGTACAGAAGACTCCCTTATCATCCGTCTGGAACGCAACAAAACCATCACTTTCTTAGCTGCGTCACAATTTAAAGCCATAGGAATGAATTTACTCAGATGGTTGAAATTAGGACTAAAGGCACATTTCACACTTTTAATAGTCACTTTTTTCCCCACCAAGTTTTTCTTTTATTCCAACAAGTAGGATAACAGTGGACCTTTCATTTAAAAAGGTGAGACCCTTTTTATGTTTTGGATCTACAACGGTCTATAAATTCATTTCAACATAAACCTGACTACAATCCTGTTATAAAACATTGTTTTTTCTTTTTAACTCAGAATTCTTTTATGCATTTTAAACTAATTTTTGAGGCCAAACGTGTTTTTAACTGAGACATTTTGGCTCACACAGCAAAACATTTGGACACTACTGCTGTAAAATTTCAAAACAAGAAGGAAGTGGATATAAAAGGCATCTATCTATGAATAGTGCCACTAAATTAAAAATATATACTGTATTTTCCGGACTATAAAGCGCTCCTTACTGTAAGCCGCACCTACAAAAAAAAAACAAACTGGAAAGTATATATATATACATATATATATATATATATATATATATAAAAGCCGCTGATATATCCGCTGCTCTCAAGGACGCAGCTCTGCGTCATCAACATTGAACCATGGATTCGTTCACACCAAACTTACGTTCAACGGCCATCGATCTGGCAGTACAGATTGGTAGCCTTTAACGTAGAAGCTGGATCATATGAGTTTGAAAACATTTCTCCGTTGTACATGCAGCTAGCATGTGCTTCTTCTAAATGAAAATTAGTGCTTTCTTCTTTGATTTCCAATTTTGACTTCCAATGATTCAATTCCTGTTAAAGTGCCCCCTGGTGGTTGAAGAAAAATACACAGAAAAGCCGCACTGGGCTATTAGCCGCATGGTTCAATGGTTCAAAGTGTGGGGAAAAAAGTAGCGGCTTGTAGTCCGAAAAATACTGTAGTTTTATTGTAATTAGTTACTCCAAGAGGGGAAACTTACGCAAATGACACAGGGGTGACCCAGCTGGTACCAGTATCTTAAGTGGTGTTGGGAGTAACTCGGCACCGTTTGTCCTTTGACGTTTGACGTCAAGCAAATCTCTACAAGCAAACGAGGAAGAATGAAATCAGAATATTATCAGCTGAGAGTCGTTCTCTTGATCTCGGTTCAGTCTTACCCAGAGGAATCCTGCCTTTCACAGCTCGGTCTACGAGGGACTGAGAACCGCCCATCTCCGGATGCAGGAAGGTTCCGTGACCGATCCGGTCAGGAGGAAGGTTCAGCAGCAACTCGGACTCCTCCAGCTGGGAGGGAACCTGCAACCAGTTTGGTTCCAGTAACGGCTCTGTTGCACAACTAGTCCGAATAAATTAAATGATGAGACCTACTTCCGACATGTGCAGCGACAGCTTCAGCCCGGAGTTCCTGGCTCTCTGCAGAGCGGGAAGAAGACAGCGGCCGTCTCCCACCTTTAGACGAAAGCTTCATTAGCATGTGGATGCTAACAGAATCCAAAACACACACATGATGAAAACAAAGTAAATACGAAGGTTTATTATCTGACTAGGGATTACGGTGCACTTAACCTTTTTTTTTTTTTTTTTACAAAATATCCAATTTAGGATTTTATTTTTATCTATTAAATACTGATGTATTTCAATCAATCAATCACTTTATTTTGGTACATTGTCCACATTAAACACAGGAAAGAAAAAAAAAAACAATAAAGAAACCCTTAATTTACCAAAAGAGGATAGGCTGAAGCCAAGCTTATTCCTGCCTTCCCTTAGCCAAGGTTAGATGTAACATTTTTAATAACCAAAAGTTACATCATCTTCTTAACAACAAATTGTTATTTCCAAACAGTAAACATGGCTGTTGTTTCTGAAGCTTAGCACAAAAATAATACATCAATTATCTCATTGAACATTTGTCCTCACTCTGCAAACACACAAAATCTTACCAAGTGTTTTTATCTAGTTTCTGGTGCAAATATCACATGAATTAAGATAAAAGTAACTTACAAGTAACTTTTCTGTACTTTTTAGCTCGTTTTAAGTAAATAATTCCTTAAAACTATTTATAAAATACTACTTCTACTAGCAGATTATTTAACTTATAATAATACATCTTCTTATAACTTAGTTTTGTCTCATTTCAAGTGAGCTAAGACATTTTTACTAGAAACTTGAACAATAATACTTGGAGAGATTTTGTGTTTTTGCAAAGTTAACATTACACTGCAAAAACGCAAAGTCTAGTGCTTCACAAACCGTTGGGTCTCCGCTGAGGTCGATTCCCACCACCAAACCTCCAGACGACAACATGAACTCTTCAGCCAGCTTCACCGTCTCCATAGCAACCTCTGCGCCATTTCTGCGATCGATGGCCACCAAAAACCTGACAGATAAATGATGTTTAGTGTCAAAGCAGATCTGTTATTAACAATTAGGGCTGTAACTAACAATTATTTTAGTAATTGATTATTCTGGTGATTAATCAGATTCAAACAATTGGCACATTCTGCATTAACAACTTAAGCCTTTTTATACACTTTGAATTTGCTGAAAATGTGCTTTATAAATAAAATGACCTTACCTTATATAATATTATTCATAAATTAAGAGACTCAAATAAATATTTTAAAATAAATAAAAAATAAGCATTTTATTGGCTAAAAAGCCACAACATAGCACTCATTTAGTGAACACTTAATTATTTGTACAATTATTTGCGGAACATATTTCCAGACAAAGTGTTTTATCTTAAATACAAAATGTTTATTTTTTGTATAGATTTGGTTTAACTTCTGCTCTGACTGTTGATCTTTCCACAAATTAAATTTTTTGAGTCTGTGCTCAGATTAATCGCTTATATTGGAGAATTGATTATATTATATTATATTGGAGAATTACACTTACTAGATTAATTCACAATTACTTCAATAATCGATTTATTACAATTAATTGTTTCAGTCCTATTAATAATAACATGAAAGCGGTGAACATCTACCTGACGTCTATGTCCACTCCCTCGTTTTTACACTGCTGAATGGCTTCAATGACTGTCTCAATGTAACTCTTTTTTGTTAGTCCTGCAATAAAAAAACGCATCATAAACCAAAGTTTGATTCTAAGCAGTGAAACATTATGCCAAAGTTTCTGAATCCGTCTTTAAGATTTGCACCAGTGTGATTCTCTTCCCTCGGTGTGCTTCTGAGCTCAAGATATTTGACATTATCAGCTGCAAACTCTTTGATAACATCTGTCGCCACCTTGATTAAAAATAAAAAAAATCTGTGAGTGGAAATCTGGAAAATGTATTTTAAATAAAAGTTGTTTTACTGAAGATCCGTGCTCACCATCAGGATGTCCTCCTCTGTGTCCACCAGTTTGTGGATTACTTTGAAGACCTCAAAACATCTGCAAACATGGAAGTAAAAGGTAGAAAACTGATGTTGTAGAATGAGATAATGAATAACAATTTAACACGACTTTAGATTCTCAACGTCACAAAAAACAGGTATTATAGCATATAACCCATGATCAAACCAAACTATCCTTGATCATAATGATTATAATCAGCACATATTTACCCCAGTAAGCAGTGCAGCCTCTTTTATCAGAGATAAAATTATTTTTTAATCAATCAAGTGTGAGATCTGTTATATTAACCTCCTGTTGTGGTTAGTGTGTATGCAGTATAAGGGCCAGTGTAGAGAAGAACAAAAGGAGGAGCAAATTTTCACCAAAAAACTGTGAATGTTTTTAATTAATCTCAGAGATTTTCTAGAAAAAAACATGAAAATTCATGAGCTCCAAACGTAAAAAATGTCAAGTAAAAAAATAGAAATGTTGAGATTAATCTCAGAAATTTTCCAGAAAAAAAGCTTGAAAATATTTAATCTCAAATCTTATTAATTAATTTTGAGATTAAAATTACAAATTTTCTAGAAAAGAGCCTGGACGTTTCCTGGGCTTGTAAAGTCGAATATTTTCGACTTTTGGAAATTTTCTGTGTTTCAAAAGTTAAAAATGTGAGACTTTCGGATTTCAGAAATGTCCAAGTTTTTTCTACAAGCTTTCCTTTCTGAGAATAATTTCTAGATTTCTGATTCCTTTTTTCACGCAAATGTTTGACTTTTCGAGTCCGAGTTTTTCTCGCAAATTTTCGACTTTCTGAGCCCGGAGAATTCCCAAATTTTTCTAGAAAATTCCTCACTCGTCCAGCGTCCTCCGCTGGCCTTTTCCGATGGCCGTCATGCTGTGTTCAATGTTGAGGTGCGGTTTCCGCCGGATGAGCTTCTCCATGGTCTGGACGCTCACCGATCCGTTCAGGTGAGCATGAAGCTCCTGTTCACACATCAAAACGCTGATGTTAGCGTTTTAAAAGCAAATAACACACTCCTGCTGTTTTTCCTCATCAGCTCCTCCCAAAACATTTTCTTCTTCTCGTAAAACACAACATTACAGAGTTTCCTTACCACTTTCGGTAGATCCTTATAAAACTCAGCGTTATCGTCCATCCTCACAGTAAAATCACAGCCGGTGTCTCAGTCTCCAACTATTCCTGTCGATATTTTCAGTGCACGTTTTCGCGATGCACCTCGTGCAACAAAGAAATCCTTCCCTCATTCCGCAGCTCAGTTCCGGGTCCCTCAGCGAATCCCCTCCTTTTTTTATTCGTCCTTTCGGAAATCATTAACTCTGTTTAAGAAAACTATATTAAATAAAATGTAATGTAATAATATTCTACATAGTTGCAGAAAATAAAGTCTCACAATTAAATGCTTCTAGCTTAACAGAAGTAGAGAAAATGTAGTTCATGTTTCTGTTTTATCTCCTTACTGTAATACTTTGCTTCATTTTTTAAGACTTCATTTCATTCACATTGTTTTGCCCTCAAACTGAAGATTATAACCTGTGGTTCCTCCATTAGTATGTCAGCTTTAGGTGATAAAGCTCCTTTGCTTTCATGATATATTAGGGAGATAAATACTTTGTACTCTGAAAAACTTAGCGGAAGCTTTTATTTTAATATTTTAACATAAACAATATTGATATTTACTGCAGTAGCACTACATGTCTTTTTCTTCCTACTTCCCTTTTTATTTTTGATGTTTGTGTTCACCGTTATCGTGTGTAAATTTAGTTTCCTCTTTATTTTTAGTAGGTGTTCACTGCCAACAGCATCAGTGTTTGTGTCTGTTTCCTGCCCTGTCGATTCCTGGTGGGTTGAGGCAGATGGCTGCTCATATTAACCCTCTTTCTGGATGTTTCTTCCTGGTAAATATGAATTGTTCCTCTTCACTGTCGCCCTGTGCTTGCTCAGAATCAGGGAGATTGCGCTGAAGTGAAAATAAAATGTAATTGTTTGATTTCTTATGACATATACAACTTTTTGCTTATTGTCTTTGTCTTATCTGCTGACTTTGACTGTGTGGTACTATAACAGTTTTGAATAAGATTTATATGTAACTGTTTTGGACTGAACAGTATTACAATTAGTTGGATTAAAGTGAATGAATTCAGGTCAGTTTTTGAAGGAAAAATAAAAGAAAAATGAAAACAGATAAGTAAATGAATAACTATGCTGTTTATATAAATACGCTGACTTTCTCTAAGTTGGAACAAGTTTGTCCTTTGTTTTGTATCAAAGTTTTTGCATCATAATCAATTATTTTACCGCAGCTGACTTTCCCAGAGGAGGCTTCATTGTTGGTGCTAAATGTCTGTCGAAAAACAGAACAGCCAGAGTTGGGTAGTAATTAGTTACATTTACTTGAGTACCTTGTTTTGAAAACAGTGAACCTTTAGAAGTATTTTTACTTTTACTTGACTAATTTTATTATAGAGCATCTCTACTCTTACTTGAGTAAAATTTCTACCGACTGAATGAAAAACAAACATATTTTAACCAAAAATTCACCAGAAACAGATGCACACCTGCAGTTTTTGTTAAAGTTTCATCAGTTTTTTTATTGAGAGAAACTGATTTTAAAAATAATTAATTTAGCTTGATTTAGTTATTTTTTGTTACTTATAAAAATTAATGTCATTTTGGTTTTTAAAATACAACAATTTCCACTTAACTGTATATTTTGGTCCGTCTGACGATGTCATTTTAAAATATTAAACAATTCATAATTTGATCAGTGACTCACTACTTTTTACCAAATACTTTTTACTTTTACTTGAGTAAAAATATGCTGACTAGTGCTACTCTTTCCACTGCGAAAACACAAATTCTTACCAAATAATTTTTGGTCTAGTTCTAGAGCAACATCTTAGTACATTTGAAATAAGACAAATGAACTTAAAAGTTACTTTTTAGTAAGATATAGAGGCTTGTTTTTAGTAAATAATAACTTAATATTTATGAAAAAATACTAGTTGGCAGATTTTTTCATTTATAAAAATTTATAAATACTTTCCCCTGGTTATAAATTAATTTATCTGCCAATGTAAGCAGTACTTTTTCATCAATATTAAGGAATTATTTACTTAAAAAAGCCATTATATCTTGATAAAAATTACTTTATACCTTATTTGATGTGTACTAAGATATTTGCACTAGAAACTAGACCAACATGCGAGTGACACCAACAGGAACACCTGTATCGTTGTTTCCTCCCTGACTTCTGATGGGTGTGAAATTAATACTTCCCTTAAGCTCAAAAGTCACATTAATTCAGTAGAAAATTTTGTTCTCTCACAGTGAAGGCGCTCGTCAAACATGAAGCCTTTTCTCCGTAAAAGAAACCTTGTAGCAGTAATCCATAACCTCTTGTTTTGGTTGCTTTTCTTTTTTCAATCAGTTGGTCCTCAGTTTCTTTTTTACAACTGTTAGAAAAATACCACAACTTGATGAATGTCAGATAAACGCAAACAAAGCGACATTTCTCCAACTGTGGCATCATCTTACTGACTTTCTGTTATTCTCTGAATTCATTTAAAGATTCTTTAGTGTTTAAATCTCCATTTTATTTATCCAATTCCTCACCATTTCCATCTTTTTTATAAACTTTTATAACTCTCGCATACCTTTTATACTGTCGTCTTTCATCTTAAGCTTTATTGTCCAGTAAGTCATTAAGTCTCCTTGATTTGAAAATGATTCAATTAATTTCAAAGAGGCATGTTTTCTTAAAACAGTTTTTTTTTATTGTGGAAAATGGCAGCATAGTACATTTATTACCATTCAAAATCCAAACAGTTTGAGTCCCCCAAATATTCACACAGCAACATGTTTTTCTGTCAGATTTAGATTTCTGAAGTGAACTTTTTACACCGGCACAGAAACGTCTTTTTAGAGCTGCTTTTTTTTTGACTCACAAATAAACCAAGAAGCATTAAACATTTTCAGACAAATGAAGCTGTCATTTCATCTCAGCTCTTTAAACAAAATAATTCAACATTCAAACAATAAGCTGTACCTGGAGACATAAAAAATAATAATACATCAAGTAATGAAAAGCAAAATCCTACTCAAGAGTGTATTTCCTCTTCGTCTCTGTTGACAAATTAAAGGTTGGCACCAATATGATGAGGGATATAAAATGGAAAATAATGTGAAAACAGGTTAAGGCAATTGCTCAAAAGAAGGACTTGATGCTATTAAAGTTATTTATTGACTCCAGATAAAGGGTGGAAGGAGCTCAGCTGCTGAGAGCTGCTGACTTTGAAACAATCTGATACGAGGCATAAGAAGCAAATGTTTGCACTGCAAAAAGATCAAAGTCTCATCGCGGTCTAGTTTCTAGTGCAAATATCTTAGCACACTTGAAATAAGACAAACGTAAAAGTAACTTTTCAGCAAGATGTAGAGGCTTGTTTTAATTCCTTAATATTGATGAAAATGTGTTCCATTGGCAGATAAATTAACTTATAACATGGGAAAATGTCTGGTTATAAGTTAAATAATCTGCCAGTGGAACTGGTACTTTTTCATCAATATTAAGGAATTATTTACTTAGAAGAAGACTCTATATGACGTGTCAAACTCAAGGCCCGGGGGCCAAATCTGGACGCCACAGCTTCTTATCTGGCCCTCTAACATTGCGCTTAAATATTATTTTATCAATCAGATAAATTCAGTTTTATCTGTTTACTGTCAAATTATGTCAAGCCGTCCCTCCACTTTTCTGAGGATTATTGTGGAAATTCATGCAAAAATCAACAAATCGCTGCACTTTTTGCTCTAATGCATAATTGCACAATAATGCTAATGCATAATTGTAAGTTTATCGCAGATTTTTGGCCAAAATTATAAAAAAATATTGGATTCAAGTGACAATTTACTCCCACTTGCAGGTGGAAGTGTTTCTTATTTCTACGAAACAGCTGCTTCACCCTAACATGATGTCAAGTTATAATCCTAGTAATAAAGTCACATAAGGACAAATATTTCTAGATTAGTACCACAAACACTTTGATTTTTATTGCAAAAAATCCTCAAAACAATCGCAAAATCCTGGAGGGACTGAAAGGATGTTCAATGTTATTTAATTTTATTTATATACTTTAACAGTTTGTTAATGGGTTTTAGCAATAAATTCTGGCACAACCGGCCCTTTAAAAGCATTCATCTTGATTTGGACCAAAACTAAATTGAGTTTGACACCCTTGCTCTATATGTTGCTAAATAAGTTACCTTTAAATTAGCTTGTCTTATTTCACCTGTGCGAAGGTATTTGCACTAGAAACTAGACTGAAAATGCTTGGTAAGATTTTGCGTTTTTGCAGTGTGGACAGTTGTACTTTACAGTAAAATGAAAAGAAAACGCTTTGACATTTTAACAGAGTGGCAGTCCTTGCTTTGAGGAGTCAAAACGGACAGCGGGCGATCATTTTTTCTGAATAATATGTTGTAGCCACTCCTTGAGCATCTGGAAGCTCGGCCGCGCTGCGGGATCCAGGTTCCAGCACTGCTTCATGATGTTATACACGACTTCGGGACAGCCGTCAGGACAGTCCATTTTGTAGCCCTTCTCCACTCGCGGCACAACGTCTTTTAACGCCTGGAGAAAAAAAATAAAAAGCAGCAAAGTTGATACCAGAGAAAATTTATTTAAAAAAAATTATTTGTCCTACGTTGAGATTAATACTTACAATTCTTGGATAGGGGACTCGGCCAAAAGAGTAAATCTCCCAAAGTAAAATACCGTAGCTCCATACGTCTGACTTAGTGGAAAATTTCTGTTAATACAAGAAAAAGCAGAAGATTTTTTTTAAACCTGACTCATTTATATCCAATGTTTTTGCTTTTTGTGTGATTCTAAATGTTTCAGATCATCAAAAAATGGTAATATTAGGAAGAGATAACTGGAGTAAATAAAAAAAAACTGTTTTCAAATCAAAATTTTCACCTTATATAGGAAAAAAACTATCCAACCACACATGCCCCTGTGTGAAAATTTCCACAAGCTACAGCTTTAGCTGATTGCTGCCTGACATGAAGAACTAAAAAGAAATTGGGTAAGTCGAATCTGTCTGACAACATGAAGGAGGCTAAAAGACCTGAAAAAACAAAGTTACTGACATTAATCTGCTTCACTTGTCCTGTCTGTTTAAATTTGTGTTTTTATCTGTGGTTTTACCACTTTGGTACAATTAAT